ACATAGTCGTTAATATAGTATCCAGGTCGGGAATACAATAGTCGTTAATATAGTATTCAGGTCGGGAATACAATAATAATTAATATAGTATCCAGGTCGGGAATATAATAATAGTTAATATAGTATCCAGGTCGGGAATACAATAGTAGTTAATATAGTCGTCGGTCGAGAATTAATATAGTATACAGGTCGGGAAGAAAATAGTAGTTAATATATTATCCAGGTCGGGAATACAATAATAGTTAATATAGTATCCAGGTCGGGAATACAATAGTAGTTAATATAGTATCCAGGTCGGGAATACAATAATAGTTAATATAGTATCCAGGCCCGGAATACAATAATAGTTAATATAGTATCCAGGTCGGGAATACAATAATAGTTAATGTAGTATCCAGGTCGGGAATATAATAATAATTAATATAGTATCCAGGTCGGGCATACAGTAATAGTTAATATAGTATCCAGGTCGGGATTACAATAATAGTTAATATAGTATCCTGGTCGGGAATACAACAATAGTTAATATAGTATCCAGGTCGGGAATACAACAATAGGTAATATGTTATTCAGATCGGGAATACAACAATAGTAAATATATTATCCCGGTCGGGAATACAATAATAGTTAATATAATATCCATGTCGGGAATACAATAATAGTTAATATAGTATCCAGGTCGGGAATACAATAATAGTTAATATATTATCCAGGTCGGGAATACAATAATAGTTAATATAGTATCCAGGTCGGGAATACAATAATAGTTAATATAGTATCCAGGTCGGGAATACAATAATAGTTAATATATTATTCAGATCGGGAATACAACAATAGTAGTTAATATATTATCCAGGTCGGGAATACAATAATAGTTGATATAGTATATAGGTCGAGAATACGATAGTAGTTAATATATTATCCAGGTCGGAGAATACATTAGTAGTTAATATATTATCCAGGTCGGGAATACAATAATAGTTAATATGGTGTATAGGTAAGGAATGCAATTGTAGTTAATATACTATATATATCGGGAATACAATAGTAGTTAATACAGTATCCAGGTTGGGAATACAATAATAGTTAATACAGTATCCAGGTTGGGAATACAATAATAGTTAATATAGTATCCAGGTCGGGAATACAATAATAGTTAATACAGTATCGAGGTTGGGAATACAATCATAATTAATATAGTATCCAGGTCGGGAATGCAATAATAATTAATATATTATCCAGGTCGGGAATACAATAATAGTTAATATAGTATCCAGGTCGGGAATACAATAATAGTTCAAACAGTATCTAGGTTGGGAATACAATAATAGTTAATATAGTATCCAGGTTGGGAATACAATAGAAGTTAATACAGTATCCAGGTCGGGAATACAATAGTAGTTAATATATTATTCAGGTTGGGAATACAATAATAGTTAATATAGTATCCAGGTCGAGAATACAATAGTAGTTAATATATTATTCAGGTTGGGAATACAATAATAGTTAATATAGTATCCAGGTCGAGAATACAATAATAGTTAATATAGTATCCAGGTCGGGAATACAATGATAGTTAATACAGTATCCACGTCGGGAATATAATAAATGTTATGTTGTCTGGCTATATTTGTAGTGTCAATACCAGATGGTATAGCTGTTGATTCCCTTAGCCGGCTGATATTCTACACTGATACTGGTAATAATGTAATTGCTAAGATGACAGTGGATGGATCTTCTCACCAAGAGATAATTAAAAGTGGGCTGGATGAACCTAGAGCAATAGTACTCGACACTAACAACAAGTATTGCTTTCCCTATAATTTATTGCACCGACATGCTGAAGGCTTCTTTATAGTGTTTAAAATAGTTCATTTTCGGGTTATTAATCTCTTGATTAAATCAAGAACTGTTCTGGAACATCAAATAGAATAGTTGATACATGGACACCGTTTCTAAAAGATAGCTTGCGATGCAAGGTAACATACGCCCACTGGCAGCTTAGTGACTAAAGTACGAATTTTCTCATATTGAAAAAATTATTTATGCTGAATAATTCCATAAAATTGTTTAAAATCAATATCAATAACCCAAATACAACAAACAATTAAATCACACAGCTCTAATCAAGGGCAAAAAAAAAAACTTTTGACACGTGTTTACAAAGTCAAGGGCAATAACTCAAAAACCGTTTATCGAAAATGCGTCAAGTTAAAACTTGTCCGAGATCTTATCAATTCCAATGATCACACCAAGTTTCATCAGAATCGGTTGAAAACTGTAGCTTCTATTGTGCTCACGAACAAATTTTGACGCGTTTTTACAAAGTCAAGGGCAATAACTCAAAAACCGTTCATCAAAAATGCATCAAGTTAGAACTTGTCCGAGATCTTATCAATTCCAATGATCACACCAAGTTTCATCAGAATCGGTTGAAGACTGTAGCGTCAATCCTGCTCACAAACTATTTTTAACAAATTTCAACACGTTTTAACAAAGTCAAGGGCAATAACTCAAAAACCGTTCATCGAAAATATGTCAAATTCGAACTTGACCGAGATCTTATCAATCTAAAGCATCACACCAAGTTTTATCAAAATCATATAAAAACTGTAGTCTCTATAGTGCTCACAAGAAATGTTGACGGACGGACCGACGGACAGGGGCGACGACAATATACGACCACATATTCATGTGGGCGTATAAAAATTCGTAGGACTAAAATTACAAGTTAAGTGATCAGAAACTTAATGACGTTATCAAATCGGTAATTTATAACGTTAACGCTCGAACGTTAATCTAAGATATTCTGAGAAACGGGGTCCAGAGCTTTTCACTACCGACAATTTGACCCGTTTTAGAGCTTTGAATTTCAATTTGGATTTGAAGCTCTAATATAACTTAGTATATTTTTAAATATTAATTGTCGGAGTATATTTAACGTCAGTTTGGTAAAATGTAAATTCTGTTTTAAAGGGAAACTGCAGAATGAATATAACGGTTCTAGAGTAATAACTTTTGATTATCATTGTGTAAATCTTTTTTTAATATCTTATGTCTTACCTAAGCTATTTGTAAAAATAGTTTATCTTGTGTAAATTTTAGAAAAATGTATTGGACTGACTGGGGACTGGCGAAGATAATGACGGCAGATTATGATGGAAATAATCAAAAATCCCTAATTACGACAGGGTTAAGGTGGCCCAATGGTTTGGCTTTAGATTTGAAAAGTAAGTATGTCTTCGATGAAAAAATTACCTGTTTATTAGAGAGGGATATCGATTTACTCAATGGGAAATTTTAGGTGCTAAATAAGTTTGACATGGTTTGCCATTTTTGGAGGTCAATTGTGCCTTGGTCTCAAACAGTTTTTACAACTTGTTGTTAAAATTTGAGCCTTCTTAGTCTTGTGTATCGTTTTTTGGTTCGGATCGTTAGTACTTTGGTTTTATTTATCATTATCTTCTAACAAAGTTATCATATGATAAAACGACAAAACTGGTTATAGCATTGATTTATATGCTATATAGCATTGGTTTATCTGTTGTTCTATATAGCAGTGGTTCATCTGTTATATAGCATTGGTTTATCTGTTGTTCTATATAGCATTGGTTCATCTGTTATATAGCATTGATTTATCTGTTGTTCTATATAGTAGTGGTTCATCTGTTATATAGCATTGGTTTATCTGTTGTTCTATATAGCAGTGGTTCATCTGTTATATAGCATTGGTTTATCTGTTGTTCTATATAGCAGTGGTTCATCTGTTATATAGCATTGGTTCATCTGTTGTTCTATATAGCAGTGGTTCATCTGTTATATAGCATTGGTTTTTCTGTTGTTCTATATAGCAGTGGTTCATCTGTTATATAGCATTGGTTTATCTGTTGTTCTATATAGTAGTGGTTCATCTGTTATATAGCATTGGTTTATCTGTTGTTCTATATAGCAGTGGTTCGTCTGTTATATAGCATTGGTTCATCTGTTATATAGCATTGGTTTATCTGTTGTTCTATATAGCATTGGTTTATCTGTTATATAACATTGGTTTATCTGTTATATAGTATTGGCGTATTTGAAATATAGTATTAGTAGTATTAGACCTTTCAATATGTTCGCAAAGGGATTCCATGGGGAAAGTGTGAAACATATTGAAAGGTCCCAAAAAACACCTAAACACCCTTCATTTCATACATTCTTACACTGAAAAACACCTTCAATCAATTCCCACTCCAAAAAGCACCTCCACACACTACATTCCATCAATTAACACCTCAAAAAGAACCTATTCACCCTACATTTCATCATTGAATTTGTTAGATTAGAATATTAAAAATACCATGATACAAAATAACTTCCTTGTTTCGCTTATTAATAATGTTAGTTTTAATCTAGAAACTTCTGTAAGAAAGATAAGTCTTGTTTTGGGAAAAAAACAGACCACAATTTCTTCGTTCAATTAACCCATTTAAAAATAGGATGAGTTTAATTCTAAAACACGAACAACACAAATTCGAAGATTATTCGGGCGACGGTATCTTTTCATCAATATTTTCTCTAGGTAAAACAATAATTCCAAAAGTAGCTAGCTTTGTTTCAAACAACAAATCACTTATTTCATCCGGGGCTAAAGCCGTCGGCTCAATCGCGGAAGCGGGAAAGAGTATAAGCGACACAGTGAAACAATCTAACGAGTTGAAAGAATTACAACTAATAAGAGATCTGCGAAACAGGAGATTAGAAGAAAGGAAAGATTTTAAAGTTATAGGATAAAAATGATAGTCGCTCACACTCCAAAAACTTATTTTG